TTCCCCAGCCGGGCTCCCTCGGTGCGGAGAACTCTCCTCCTCCTTTTCGCCGTCATCGGCTGAATGCGCATGCACGGCAAGAGCCGCGCACGCATTCAGCCAGTCCATAGGAAAGTATTCTCAATGCTTTCCTATGGACGATGGCGTCTTCTCATTGTGAAAATCACAGTGAAAAGCACGGAAGCATCTCTAGCGGCTGTCAATGAGACAGCACTAGAGGCTGGATTAACCCTAAAGTAAACATAGCAGTTTCTCTGAAACTGCTATGTTTACAGCAAAAAGGGTTATACCTAGATGGACCTGGCACCCAGACCACTTCATTAAGCTGAAGTGGTCTGGGTGCCTATAGCGGTCCTTTAAGTAACTGATTTTTTTTATTTTCAAAAGAAATTAAAAAAAAAATGTCTTCCATCAACCTATCCATACCTTTGGTGATCCAAACTCCCAAATAGTACAGTACAGGTTAGGTAAAAGAAACCCAGGGACGATAGCAGGCCTGAACTGGTACACTTTCAGTGCCAGAGACGCAAGGGTCATATCATCACAAGCTATAATAACAGTATTAGCCTGAACTGTGCAATTTGGATTTTCACTTGCAAACATTTGAAATTTAGTAAATAACCCTGTCTGTCTTTTGTCATTACCAGGCTTTTCTCAATATCTCAAGGTACTGGGGTTGAAACATTGACTGTATGCTGTTCCACACGTTTGCTTAAACAAAACCATTATCGTTCATAGGACTCAAACATAAATAAAATAACGGCTTTGCTGTACAACTGTATCAAAGCAAAAAACAAAACAAACAGTAAAGTGCCTTTACAATACAGTTAATTTGTTGAGAAATTAGTTTGTTTAAATAAATACTTTGGTCTTCTTATAAATTATATATTCAGTTATTTAAAATGTCCTAGGTTAACCGTTAATTAAAAACATATATCCATACTTTGTGGGATATAGGCTTATTCACTTCTACATTCACCTCCAGTATTTACACAAGCACAAAACAATAGATCTACATCACAACAGATTTCTCCTACTTGCCACATTTATTCAACATAGTTGTCTGGTTTATTTTTAAACTACTGTACCTATGGTCAGGGCCAGGCTTAATTCTCCTACAGGAGCTTTGGCTAATGGACAATTTAACATCCCTACGTTCCGGGTTGCTAATGTTATAAAGACCTTGTCATCTGCAACCTTGTATTACTCATTGAACAACAAGCCTTTATTCTGCTTACATACTATGGTTCTACTTCATATTGCTCTTTTTCGACTGTTTGTTTGTAATTATCGAAAATATAAAATACAGAATTGAAAGAAGAAAAAAAACCAAAATGTTCCAAGTTAGCCATACCCCCTAAAATGAAATTTTCTCTCTTCAGATAGTAAATTTTGGGTGGTATGCATGCAGTGCTAGAAGTTATGACAAGCCCACATACCAAGGTGTCTCTTCATGCTCTTTTCAAAGTCATGTGAAACTTCCTCTAGCAGTTCTTTAACCAGATCCTCCCGGGCTTTCCCCTGTTGCAGTGATGCTGGTACATGGGAGAGTATAGAGTTTAGCCAGTGCTTCTGGATAGGTACCACAGGGCTGCTCTCTACACAGTTCTTCATGTAGAGGTAATTCAGCTAAACAAGGAAACAGTTATTCAGTTAAACAGTGTTCTGCGAGAGACAGTAAAAACAACAACTAATTTTAAAAGCCACATCAGAATTTTTTTTTGATAATCTAAAAGTCTTTTACATGGTCAATGTGAGATATAAAGGAGCTAAAAGAACATTCCTTACCGTTTAAGGGGGTTGGGAGCAATTTTGCATTGGTGCATAGATTCCAAACTACATTTCCAGACACGATTCACTGATAATCTTAGAGTGTGCAATTTAACAGATAAATTGGCAACTAACTTGGCTTGAGAAACACAGGATTAGTAGTTGATCTATATACAGTAAACTATAAAAGCAGATTTAGACACATTTTCACTGGCAACTTTCTTTGATTTCAATTATTCAATAATTTTGTGTCATTCTATTTAGTAACAAATGAAATAAAGTAATTTCTACAGATTTCAAATTAGAATTCCAGGAAAAGATATGTAAAATACTCACTCTGCGTTTTCTCTGCTCACTGTTCATCTGTAAGGGAAGCAAGAAATGAATCGGGTTAGAAACGTACAAAATTTGAGTCAATTTAAAAGCAATTTTTTACTGATTTTTGTTTATAGTATAGAAAACAAAAAACCTTCAAAATGCAAATGTGCTTTTTTTTCTAGTAACATTATTAAGTG